AAAAAAAAAAAAAAAAAAAATCAGATTGATCTGAACGGGTCATGTCTACTTGATATACTAACAAAAATTTCCTGGATCACGCGTACTAAAGGCATCCAAGGTCGAGTGTTGATCAATACCCTTGCTTGATACCTCGATCAACACTTCCATTGACACTTGATCAACATCTCAATAGTCAGTCGAGAGTTCAACAATATTTGCAAAACACACCATTGAGGACTGATTGATACATATGAGACACTCAACACTAGGCCAACTATCGACCAACTGTTGATCAAGTGTTGATCAGGTGTCAATCAAGATGACGATAGAGTATTGATCGAGATGTCCTTAGACTGCTGATCGAGATGTTGATTGAGTGTTGATCAAGGGTGGATTGAGGGTATCAATTGACAATCAACCGTTGACGCCCTTTGTACACATGATCCAATTTCCCTTCAGTAATGGTACCTCTAAACTGTCACTGCCATCAGCTTCTCTGTCGATAATATCAAATGTTTCTTCATGAAGTCGTTCAGCCTAAAAAAAATTGTAGATCACTGATTACTAACAATATTTTTACTTTACATGGTAAGTAACATCAAGATTCAAAATCTTAGTATTGACAGGTGAAAAGTTCAGAAAAACCACTCTGAAACCTGAGAATATCCACTGGCCCAATTGTTGCCTGCACCTCCACCATGTTTTGAAGTGTACATGTTTTCAGGGTTGTACAAATTGGCATACGGCGAAGAAGTGATTGCATCTATTACCTGAAAAATATTTCAGTCAGCTGTTTATTGACAAATAAGAGACCACCAAACAATAGCGAATTCACTTACCCTTGGTTCTAAATCCAAAAGAACTGCTCTGGGAATATAGTGTTCATCATCAGCCTAAGAAAAAAATCAGTTGCATCATGACTTTAAAAATAAAGACAATCACTACTGTAAAGGTATTACAAAAATAGGAAGTGGGTGCATATAACCTTTACCTGATAGAAAAACACATCTTTTCTGTCAGTCCCATCTGTGGCAAAGTCTTCAAGGATTCCATCTGGAGATCAAAGAAACATACATAAAAGACAGACCATTATTTTTTGAGGGGAGCGGAGGGGAGGTTGAGCAATTTTCTGGGGCATGAATTTTTTTCTCACCTTTAGGTTGTGCATGATATTTTCTTGGCGGGTAATAGCTTGCATAATAATTTTTTTAAAGTCAAACACAGGACCTGGTTAGCTGTAGCGCTTGGTCGATTTTTTTCCCATGGTTCCCCTTGCATGGTTTTTTTTTTCCAGCTCAGTTTTTGCTGTGCAGGAATTATTTTTAGAAATTACCCATTCCCCACTCCTCCGAAGAGTAATGGTCTGTACCTAATGATAGGAGGAAAACAATATATTGGGTTTCATTTTATACTGCAAAGGACAGAGGATCAACGAAATGCCAGGTTGTTGGTTGGGAGAGGGGTGATCAATTCAACAATGCCCTGGCTTGAATAAGAAAGGGTTCTGTTAAGCTGATGCAAGTACACTGTAAGCATATTTGTTTGCAGGACACAAACATTAATCACCTCACTGCGAGAACTGTGTAGTGTTCCTATTACTTGCATACACAATAAAATTTGTGTTCATTCTAGAAAATACCCATACCACCAAACCATTTACTATGTCCCATACCACCAAATTGAAGGTTCTTGGTTCGTACCCCTCCACTCCTCTTGCCCCCTGCACCCTTTCAAAAAATTATTCCCACTTTAGTTCCACACCATCTTTTAGAACATTTAGGCATTTGAAGTCCCCCACCTCTTGGAATTTCAGGTGACCTTCCATGGATTGAGTAGGGTAACCCGAAAACACTGACCCCCGGTCTGCGGACCCCCACTACAGACTGGGTCCGCGGACTACCTATGGACCAGTCCACGGACTCCCCCTACGGACCCCCTCTACGGACCACCCCCCAAAATATAATAAAAATAATAAATATTTCAGTTGCTGGTTGTCCGACAGATTACTCGTGACGGCGAAATTTCGAACGTTACATTTTACAAATGGGCAGACCTGGATTCAGGCTCGGGTGCAATTTATTTTTGTCCTCGTTTTTCTCAGAAACAAAGCGCAAAACGGCCAAAAAAAATACAGGGGAATGTTTTACTACTAAATTGAAAAGCACATGCAAAAATTCAGGCACTTTTGAAGAAAAAAAATTTTCACCCGAAAAAGTCACTTACGTCAGTCTTGCACCAAGCCATTCAATT